AATAGGGTGACAGTTTCATTTATTTTGATAAGTAGTAGCCGTAAAATTTTGAAACTTAATTTTTAACGCCCAATAAAATGGGGGGGAGGGGGATTTCAAAGTTATGTGTTTTTTGTGTTTCAATTACAAAAAAAATATTAAGTTTAGTTGTGTGTTATTTTGGGTGATTTGTTTGAATCGTGGTTAATGATCGAATACTGTGCTTAAACAACAATTGTTCATCATTTGGAACAGTTTTAAAGCGACCAATCGCCCAGAATAACAAGGAAATGTGTATGCTCTTTTACTAGCAGTAAGTAAACTGCAAAGGTAGTAAAACAATATTAAGCACATTGTTGGCATGGTTGACGTTTCCAGCATTACTTGTATACTAACATAATTGACGCGAATTAAGAAAAGTAAATCTGTGATATAAATAGCATGTAAACGCTTAAATAAGTACTATCAGTTAACAATCTTCGAACTGTCGCTGTTGGTAGCGTACTAGGTTTAAGTTATAAGATGATCCCCACCGAATTTTATCTCGTGTAAGATTTGCTTGGATGAGCAGTAAGATTTACAACCCAAACGCTACATTTGGTCCCTAGAGCCTTTAAATGAACTAGTGCCGCGCTACATGTGTTCCGATCCCAGTAAGTGGTACATTTAATCTCTCAAACTTTCAACGAATTGGTGCCGCGTTAACACAAGGGTTTCGTTCTATAAGCAAACCCACGACTACAATGAATACCTCTACGCCCTGTCATCGTCAGCGCCGGTGAGCCCGAATGACACAACATCCCAAGCGGAGATAAGTCAAGGAGCAACAACTGTAAAGTCCAGAAAGGCAGCGGTGGAAACAGATGCACACCTCATCGACAACATACCAGCGGTACGACACCTGGAGGGCGAGGATTCCCAAAAATACCTACCATACTCAGCCTGGACCACACGTGCCCACTATTAACAAAATAAGTGTACAATCCTCCATAGTAATGCAGCATGGTCAAGCAGATGTTGAGCTTCCTAGATGCAAGGGACTCGACCATTGGAACTCACTAAAGGTAACACAGTCATAGGATGCCCCTAGGGATGCCCAATCTGCAAGGAAGATCACCTTCTGCCAGCCTGCAAGAAGTTTGGTGAATTGTATACAAGGGAACGTCGGTAAATTGACAAGAAAAATCAGTTGTGCTTCAATTGTCTAATGCAACCCCTCCACATGTGGGGAGAATTCCACTGAGATAAAACTAACCACCGCCACCATCGCAGCAAAAGGTATGGGAGTGTGTAAGAGCACTATTTATTAGACAGCGGCTCCCAAATGTCCTTCGTTACCGACTGCTGAACGCTTGGGTCTTCGCAGAAAAGGGGTTTTTGTGGAGGTATCCGGCATAGAGCGGAGACTATACGCTGTGGTGATGCAACAAATTGGCAGAACATGAAGCTGAGCAGTTCACAAAAGCATCGGCAATCGTCAAACGGGACTTAATAACGGAGTCGTACAACCAAGAAGTTGCGAGTTGATGGAGTTGTTGAAACGAAGGAGGGTTCAAAGTCAAACTTAGGAAGTAGAAAAGTAATTGCCACCCTGCCCGAGGATCTACAGGAAAAGGAATTCGTGGAACTTGGGCCAAAAAGCAAAAAAAAAGACCTTAGGGGTACAATGGGCGACGATTCAAAGTAGGTCTATCCCCGGTGAACACACCTACCAAACGAACGGTCCTATCCCCGATCGCAAGATTATATGACCCACTAGGCTGACTAGTGATTAGCCCCCATGGTAATACAGGCTAAACTGCTCATGACAGAAGCCATTGAGTGGAACGAGAAACCTCTAACCCGATTAATGGATAAATGGACTACCTTCCAAGAAGATTTCAACCACCCAAGTAGGGCAGATTGACATCCCATGGATCCATTAGGACGGGAAAGTAACCATTGAGCTTCATGCTGGTGATGATCAAAAACAAATCGTTGAACACTTGGATGTTCAATATGTCATTTATGTGGCTAGTAGTAGTGCCCCGCAGGGTTCCAACCTTGGTCCGCTACTGTTTTTAATTTTCTTTAACTCTGTGTGCGGTGTGATATCTATAATTTCTTATTTTATGCTGATGACCTAACGATATTCACTGTGGTCAATGGTGAAAACCCCATGAATACAGAACTGCATTCTCTAAAGCCACGAGTGCAGCAATCCCATTTGGAAAGGAAAACTAACATTAACTTACAATCAGAATTATTAGTACCTACTAGCAGGCACTTTAAGTCCTAGTTTTGTAATTATCCGTTACACTGTACGCGTTTTATATTATTAGAGAATCGCATTCACGTTACCATTTAATTCGTTTTGATAGATATGTTAGGCGCAAAGACCGAAAACGGCCATTGAGCGAAAAAAACGGCCACAACGTGTTTTGGGTAATGTCAATTGACCACGTAGCGTTCATTAGGTTTTTTTCGCTTTGTGGGCGTTTCAAAATAGCCACTACGCGTTCTGAACAATCTAACTGTACCATTACGAGAATTCGCGTTGTGGCTGTTAACTGTTTTCAACCACAACGCGTTCTAAAAAATCGTTGCCATTAGAGTTCCAGACGTCGATCGCGGCCGCACAGCTCCAAGGAACATCATAGCAGTTGTAACGAGCGTCAACTCCTCTGGGCTTTATAAACTAGGCACGAAGAAGGGCGAACTTCAACGGCTTTGTTCTCGAAACGAGTTCACGCCTGTTAACACGTTCATGGATGAGAACGACGTACCAACGAATACGGTAACCATCAGGACCGCTTCAGGGAAATCGTCGGGAAGCACACAGGGGTTTGTCAGCTGCAATTGCAAGCGATACTGCAGCGACAAAAAGTGCAAGTGCAAATCCAAAGACGTGAAATGTAACTCAAAATGCCACTCCAACAGCTCTTGCAAAAATAAATAAAGAACACTTACGCAAGGAAGAGATAGTATCAAAAAATCGTATGTAGCTCTCTGTAAGTTGTGGTTCCTAAGCTAATAAAGTTTCCTCCCGTTTCACAAAAACTACCCAGAATGTTTAATAATCACGTCGTAGCTATTGGAAAAACTAGTCACAATGGGTTCTACATATTTGGTATTTTTAGAACGCGTTGTGGTTGAAAACAGTTAAGAGCCGCAACACGAATTCGCGTAATGGTACAGTTAGATTATTCAGAACGCGAAGTGGCTGTTTTTAAACGCCCACAAACCGAAAAAAACGTCAAGAACGCTTCGTGGTCAATTGAAATTACCCAAAACGCGTTGTGGCCGTTTTTTTCGCTCAATGGCCGTTTTCGGTCTTTGCGCCTAAGATACATTTCTAATTGCAGCCCAAAGAATACTCAACGTTGAAAAGAGGCTATAGCACGAGTGCCTTGCAGAGCCGAGCATTTCGTGTGAATGTTTTTCCTCTTATTGTCTAATTTTGATTGTCTTGGAGTTTCTAGTTTTTTAGCGCATGTGCTATTGTTTACGTTGTGTCCGTCCGTCCTGACCCACTTTTACCGTTTTGAAATACTTGTAGGGGAATGGTCCTAGAGTTCTGGAATTTTTCGCATTGGTGATGTCAAAACAAAACCTATTTCGTTTAAAAAATGCGTTCTATCTGCTCAATTTATACTTGATATCTATATGGTATGATGGCTTGCATGAAAATTTTACCTGTGTAAGATCAGGGACATTTCGGGTCGTAAAAAAACGATAAACACGAAGGGTCTGACATTATTTATGTGAAAGTGAATGTAGGGGGTGGTTGTGGTAGGACAAGTAGCTGGATGATTGTGGATTGCGAGCCTAACACATGTGATGCAAAGGGGAGAGGCCAGGTGAATTACACGCTAGCTGTGGAATAGCATGCCAGGAATGGCCATTTTTCCACATTGCACCTTTTCGGGATAAAAAAGAGGGGAAGAAAAAAGGCCCCGAACATTATGTTGCCGTTTTCCATAAGCAACTGCCAAATCAGCACACCTTCTCGAAGGAGCGTAAAAGCACCGCATTAGCAATTTGTAGTTTCATACTTATCTTAAGTATACAATATACAAGTAAAACTTGTTCATTTCTTGTTGAACAAAATACTTTTGTACTTTCGCTTTTTGTAAAGCGGAAATCGTTTTCGCGTATCTATAGGTAAGAGGATGCAGGTAACTTTTATGTACAGGGTGTCTAAGTAATAACCTAAACAAATGCAAGGTTTTGTTACATGGCGTACCTACAGGCGAAAAATTTATCGCAAGTTCCAAACAAACCAATTAATTTATGGGATAGGAATGGGACGACGTAACTCGACGAACTTGAACGGTGTTTGAAGGGGGACAGGACGAGTTAATATGTACGTCATCATTTTGAGCACCTTTTATAAAATATAAATAAATAATACATTATATTTCGTGTATTTTTAAATACTTAGAATAATTCTGAGAGTTCGCTAGTCATTTGTCTACGAAATAAATCTTTAGTTGTCTAACCAGCAAGCACTGGGTAGTCACCTCGGTGGTCACTAATGAAAATCATGTATGTTGTCACAAATTCTCGTTGGAATTTCATCACAACCATTGCAACTGTAACTCTTGAGTCTTGACCTGATTGATTTGTAAATTATAATGTATGCAACCAATTTAAACAAAGCACCTATTTCCCACCATTAAGTATACCTACACATACCTACCTATAACCATTGTTTAAAAGTATTTAAACAATGCTATAACGCACAAGATTATTTGGATGATCCCCAAACTAACGTGTTCGATATTAAATACATATTTTTTATAATTTTTAATGTCACCGGTCCAACTTCGAATAAGTACACATCTTCATTCCAAGCGTGAATCATTAATGCAAACAAGAATAAGCAGTCTATAAATAAATAGTATAAAATGATAATTGAGATTATACGTGCTCAATATTAAATATGACTAAAAGTAGATAAACAATATGAACCGTCGAACGATAATTTGACGTTTAGTCACCACCGATCTGGAACCAAACATCAAGAACTACGCAATGTAACCTGGAATGTGTTACCGTGTAAATACAATTATTTTCATAAACTTTGTTAAAACATTTCTTTAAATATTAATATGTGATAATTGTCAATTTTGCCTGCACAAGTGAGCCCCATTTCGAATAACTGCAAATCACAATTCCAAGCGTGAATCATCAATGTAAACCGGATAATCTATAAATAGCAGAAAATAACAACTAATGGATTAACTTTATTTGTTTAGATAAAAATTTTCCTTAAACCACAGCACTGCTATAAATATGGGTTTCATTTATGAAGCACTGCAGTCTGCATAGTGCATCTACATAGTTGACTAATTTTCGTAGGGTACAATATTTTCCAGTATGTCTGACAAAAAAGGTATTCACAGAGCATTTACTCTAAATTAAAAATAAATAATTTATTTTACTTTTATTTATAGCGAATCTGGATAATCGATCCCAACAGTTAAATCCCAATAATACTCAGTTTTGGAAAAGTAGAGGAGAAAGTGGAGTACCCTCGCCAAGATCAAGTAAGTAATTATTAAATTTAGCATGTTAAGTTAGCTGCTTATTTGTAATATTTTGCAAGTACCTGAAGCTCCCCACAAAGTTCTTAGAGTTTTTTATAAACCTTTTAGAAAGAGTTCCTAACGATTGATGAAGTTTTTTCCATAAAAAATCCATAAAAATCATATTAGTTCAGTTAATTTGTACTTTAAAAGGTCCAGTAGAAGATTTAATTTTACCGACTTGTTTAAATGGTAAAGAGGGAGAGAGAAATCAACGAAAATTCCTAACTTTTCGGCTTTTCTAATAACTCGCCAACGGCAATAATTAGGTAATTCAAAGTTGTACTGTATAAAAGTACCTTTAATTTGATATTTTATTTGGCCCCCTAACATGTTTAAAGTTTAAAAGATACACTTGTTTTTAGCAATTTTTGAAAATAAATCAACTTTTACGTCGTTAGACTTGAACAAAAATTTACACAAATAGATTACATATACATATAGAAATAAATACCTAAATTTATTTTATACAAACATGAATTTATATGCATACCTAATCGATTTTTAAATTTTTGCTTGTGTCTGTTTTTTTCAAAAATTAAAAAGAACTCGAAACTTCAACTTGATGTATCTCCTATAAACGACAGTAAACGGAATGTAATTTGTGATGCTTTACATTTGTCAACCTTAATGATTTTCTTCCCTCTGTCTTGGACTCAGCATGAGCATTAAATTTAATGCCTACCTATGTCTACTATACAGGGCGGTGACTTGCGTAACGCATCATAGGGATTTCAATGTAAAATTCAAAACATGCGATTATTGGCTCCCCAAATTATTTTAGAGCAAAAATGTATTAAGGTTTTCTGTAGAAAAAATTTTTTTACGTCAATCAACCTTATTAGTTTTCAATTTTTTGCATAATAAAGACCGAAAATTGGAAAAATAAAACCCGCATCTTAGTAACATCTTAGTTAACACATTTTTGCTCTAAAATAATTTGGGGAGCTAATAATCGCATGTTATGAATTTTACATTGAAATCCCGATGATGCGTTACGCAAGTCACCACCCTGTATAGTACATATTAGACATGTCTAACAGCATTTTATAGATATAGAGACCATTAAAGAAAGTTGTAGATGTAAATGTAGGTAATGTTGATTATCTGTTCATCACTGGGGACTTCATGAGCTTGCATTTCCGCAATCGTACCAGCAGCTTTGAGTATTTATATTCAAAGCCAGCAGTCAGAAAACATGCTCTGTTGCATGCGCATAGTTCTGTAAATGCTTAACTGCGATTAAAAGATTCTTATCCAAAAGTCAATTTTCTCAAAATGTGCAAAACTAGGTATACCGGCGAACCATGTATCTCGATAATACGATGCTTTTCACTTTTTCAACAACACTCGTTTACTTATTTGCTTAATCGTTACTAATAAGACTGTTTTTATAACTTACACATAATAACACAATGATTTTTTTCAGGTGCTGGAAGTAACATCAGTCCGAGTACCAAAAGTTCTAATACTGGGAATTCCACCACTGGGAAAAAGTAATTGTATCATAAATTCCTAAGAACTTTGTACAATATTTCTTTGTTTATCAGTATGTCATCATCAAATGTAATTGTATAATAAATGTCTAATACATATATTACAAAAATGTGTACCAGTTTGTCAGTTACCATTTTGACGCATGGTCAACTATCACCTGCATAACATTGGGCTTGTGGAGGAGCCAACGTGCAGGTTCTGTGGCGAGGCAAATGAAACTATCGAGCATGTGGTCCGAGCTCCTTGCTGACAGCAAAACTGACAGCTATCTGGAACCGAAGAGGGTGAAGCAACTTAGGCCAGACAGAGTCCTATCGTTTATTGAGAGGAACGGGCTCTGAACCTATAGTTGCAAAAGAAAGGGGGTCGAGCTCCCCTGTGAACAAAATAAATTAAGATAACCGAAATTATGGTAATAAGTTATTGTAGACACAAAATCTTCCTTTTTCAGCAATTTCTTTACATTGCTAACTTTGATCAGCTGTATTTCGGTTAATATTTGGTATAGAAATTTCGGCCTACAACTTCGTAATGCACTATTATTCAAAAATACTTTTAGTTCACGAGATATAAACGAAAATTTGAAAAAAGTCCGTACATGTGTAGTTTTTTTACCTCCCTTTAAGTTAGCACACGGTCTTCGAGGTCAAAAACTTAGGATAGACATCCTGCTGTACCCCAAAACAACCTGTATAAAAATTCCGTTACCTAATTTTAGAATACTTTTCTGTCATATCAACTGGACGACAAAAACTAGAACTTGAAACTTGAAATCGAATTGAATGCGAATTAAAGAGATCTAATGCATGAATGTTAAAAACCTCTTGGCAATATGTATCAGAAAATGGTTAGACCAATGACAATGCTTCTTCAAAATTATAGAGAAAATCACTGAAACTATCAGGTCTACAACAACAACTTTGTTGAGTAATGTAAATTGTCCGGGAAATAGAGACTGAAAATGGACCATTTCCTGCAAAACGAGAAGTAGTTCCAATTTTTTTGCATGTCATGGAGGAATATCTGGTGGTTAAGAATCCAAGTTTTCCACCTCCCACCCCTTGTGCTTTCCCCGTACCACCCTTAAAACCAAAGACATTTGGTTGGTTTTTTAGTTTTTGAATCATATTTTTTTATAGGTTCATTTTACAAAAAAACATATCAGAAATTTTAGACTATAAAATTTTACACACTTTGATATACACTACTTTTTTGTGAAATGTTTATTAAAAACGATATAGAGCTTCAGAGTTCCTTATATTTTTTAGAATTCTAAAATTGACATAATTTTTTTGTTTTTAACGTATAGCCCTACACAGTGATTCAAATATCCCCACCAGCAAGGATTGCAAGTTTCATTATTATGCATCCCCTTTTTTAAGGGTGCAGGGTAGGGGGATTTATATCACGATAAGTTCAAGATATTTTCTCATAAAACTCATAATTATAGAGATAAAGTATAAAATTTGGTTAAAACATCTACATAGAAATTTCAGAATTTTTAAAAATATAACCAACTCTCAAGCTTTATATCTTTTTTAATAAACATTTCACAAAAAAGTAGTGTATATCAAAGTTGTGTAGAATTCTATAGTCTAAAATTTCTGATAACAATATTTGTTTGTAAAGTGAACCTATAAACAGATATGATATGATTCAAATCTTAGATTCTTAACCATCAGATGTCTGTCTATGACATGCAAAAGAAATCGGAATTACTTCTCATTTTTCAAGATAAAACCCTCTATTCCCTGGACTAAAAGTAAAGTATTGCGCCTTTGACTACTACTGTGTAATTTAACTCAGATTTTACGTAAATTCCAACTCCTCCATCTCCTCCCTGCCTGGGCAAATGACAAAGCTAGCCTTTTACACCCAATAAGCCAGCAGCCACGTTTCAGTTACTCCAAAGATGTCATATGCTTGTACAACAGCAGTAATTCCCTGAGGCGACCAATCTTAGCAGTTATGAAACGCATTCAAATGTGCTAACCTGATACAACAATAAATCTGAATCGTGAATCAACACTAAGGTTGAGAACCTATACCTGAATCCGTAAGGAATAACATCAAGTCATACCTTGTAGAATCAATATTCCAATTAAAGAAACGGCTGACTAAATTCTGGGAGAGGCGGCTACGCCAAGCATATGCCAAAGTATCAAGAGTATCCTTTCGCTACCAACAAGAGATCCAAATACTACAAAACCACAAAATATTAATCTGTGGCAAAACTTAGACTCCTTTTAAATCCTGCAAGCAGACACAAATAGCAAAGTAGGTATAGAAACGAAACCTTTTTTTTTTCAACCGGCGGCATTTGGGGGGGAGGTACTGCAGGCTAATGCGCACTGAAGCGGAAATTAGTGGTAGGTTAGAGAATGCAACTTGACCTTGACCTACTAAAAAGGGAGGTAAGATAGAGATTTTGTGTCCTGCGCCGGCTTGGCGCGTGATCGAGTGGGGATGGCAGTGGCGGCAGGCGAGCGTTCAGATGTACTTGGAAGCTGAGACCAGGGAGCGGTGGGAATTACATTTTATGAAACTTGAGAAAGCTATTATAAATTACATGGAATAGGGACGTAGGGTATAACCACTGACTTTACATATACGGGGTATCAATTTTAAAACTTGCAGTCGGCCATATTTTCCAAACTAAAGAATATATTAAAAATCGCGCAAAAGCGTTTTGGGGGTATCGAGAGGGAACCAGAATGACGTTATGAGTGACAACCTCCCAACCCCCTTAACTCCCCCAGCCCCCTCTCTTCAATAATACTAAATGGCAACCCCATACTTATTGTGACACATCGTTGGAAAGGTACTGAAAAATGTTTTACCAGTGGTACCAATAAAGTCAATATTCATTAAGACAATTTAACAAAAATTTAATAATTAACAAAAAAAAATAAAAATTAAGCCATGCCTATGTTCAAGATTTGGTCGCTAAATTCGAAGAAACGGGATCTGTTATCAATAAAAAAAGAAAGCAACCAAGATTGCTTAATGAAACAGCTCAGGTTGAAGTTCTTGGCCAATTTTCCATAAATCCCTCAATGTCAACATTTAGTTTTTTTTGTTAATTATTAAATTTTTGTTAAATTGCCTTTAATCAATATTGACTTTATTGGTACCACTGGAAAGCATTTTTCAGTAGCTTTCCGACGATGTGTCACAAGTATGGGGTTGCCATTTAGGATTTTTGAAGAGGGGGGGGGGTTAAGGGGAGTTGGGGGTTGTCACTCATAACGTCATTCTGGTTCCCCCTTGATACCCTCGAAACGGTTTTTCGCAATCTTCAATATCTTTAGTTTGGAAAATATGGCCGACTGCAATGGTATAACATGGTGATAGGCGATGCTAATGCTAGGATTGGGACTGAGGGTGAGTTGAATGAAGGGATTCGGGTAAATCGGGTGCCAGTATTGAGCGATAGCGGAGTTTCCAAGGATCTAACTATAACAGAGCGACTTGGTAGTCTTGAATGGCATAATCTCGGGAGATCAAATAGCGAAAGGGCCTACAGGTACCACAGTGATAAATTTGGCCTGTGCTTCAAGAACCATGTTGGAGTTAATTCGGTGTATGTCAAATGTGACAAAAGTAAAGAGAGAGAAGAGTAGCGAACGGAAGGAAAAATCGGCCCTCCTCTTGCTGCCTAAATTGGAGTGGACTGGAAAAGATAAACTGCTTTTTAGATCTGAAATGAATAGAGTGGGAAGGGAATTAGTGATGAATTATAATGAGCCTCTGGCATGTTTGGAGGAGCTAAAGAGGGGAATTTGGAGTGCAGCAGAGATTATGACGGTAAGTAAGGCAGAGAGAGGCGGGAGAGTGAACAGTTAGCCGTTATGTGATGAAGTATGTCTAACGAAAAGGATGGAGGTCAGCTTTTTGTGAAATTATTTAACAAGTTATGTTCGGCGACGCTAGAGGACGACACAACGAGAGTCTAAAGTGCTATTGGCTTAAAAAAAAGATTATTATGTAAATGCCGCAATAGATCTAGCCAATTGCAAGGATTCTATAGAAACTCAGAACACTGATAAATTCTGAATTCGCATTAATGTATAGGTAGGTTACCTAAAAATGTCCCCTCGCATTATAAGAAGATCTGTGCAAGAGGTATATTTTTACAAACATATAACAAATGCATCGTATTTTACGCACAGTTGGTCGCCAGAGATTTTTTATCCAACTAAGTACATTAAGTGTAAAGCGTTGTTTCACTGAATCGCAGAATCTTAAGTTATTCAGTACGTCTTTGATTAACGGTATCCTTTGGATAGCTCTTATCAACATAGTACGTAACCGTAAAGTTCTCATTACGACGGGTTTCCTTAATTCATGAAATAGGTAGGTAGTTGATGTACCTGCAGGAGGGTAAAGTTTACGTGACCAATTATTGAAATGTACCAATAAAGATTCTCGCTGCCATCTATTCACTAATTAAACCATTGCTTTACTGCGTAACTCAGAATTAAGTGCGTAATTTAAAAAAAAGGTCAATAAACAACGTAATCAGAAAAAAACTGTTAGGGATACTTAAGTGGCGCGAATGTGTGCAATTTTTTCCCGCGGATCTAAGGATGCAAATAAAATTAAATTCGCCCGCAAAGAAAAGGGCATTAAAAATGTTTTTAAGAGCTTAATTAAATTTGAAACACGTTGAACAACTCGCAATTTATAAAGTAATATTTCTTTTCTCATCAGAAATTCATGACTAGGAACAACTTAACCAGTAAATTAAGAAATTAACGTATTCCCACTTGCATGGTTTATTGTGGCTTTACTTATTCAGGAGCCGTGGTTCAACCGGGAGGAATCATGCATTCTAAATTACTGGCAGTTCGTGAAATGTCATGTCGCTACTGCTTTTTGCTCTTCCACCACTCGGACTAATTCACTTGTGACTTTTGTCTAGTTTTGCATTGAGGATGATTTGGTTATACGAGCTCGAAGTTTAGAAGCTAGGAATTGTAGGTAATTCTCGATTCGATTCGATTTCAGTTCGATGGAGACCAACAAATGACTAATCTGGGTATGAAAGACTGAATAATATTGTTTGCATTTATGCCATGTGTTGTTAATTCACAAAATATTTGTATTTTTA